TAGAGCTATCTTAGAGATGAAGTCCCCAACCTCTATAAAGGAGTTCCAATGCCTTAATGGGAGAAAAGTAACCCTCAACAGATTTGTCTCAAAATCCGCAGACAAATGTCTATTTTTCTTTAAAATCATCTGCAAATCTTTTCAATAGAGACTAGATGCAGATGAGGCCTTTCAAAAATTGAAGGTCTATCTCGTCACACCCCTTTGATTTCCCATAATGTACCAGGATAGACCTTATACCTTTACCTCTCCTCCTCGTCCTTTGTCGTGAGTTCTGTCGTTGTTAGGGAGAATGGAGGAGTTCAAAATCCTGTGTACTATGTAAGCAGGGCATACCGATGAGCAGAGGTAATATACTCAGAGTTGGAGAAATTGGCTTTCAAACTTGTCATCGCGGCCAAGTGCCTACGCCACTATTTTCAGAGCCACACTATCATGGTACTCACAGATCAACCACTTAAGAGAATTATGAGAAAGTTAGATGTGTCTAGCTGACTCCTCAAATAGGCTATCGAGTTGAGTGAGTTCGATGTGCAGTACCAGCCAAAGGCGGCCATAAAGGCGCAAGTGATTGTAAACTTTGTAGTTGAGTCTACACACTAGAACAATCACAGAAAGAATCACCATGCGTCTCTACGCTAACCTGCCCAATACATTATGTCTCAATTCACCATAACGCAAGTCTAGGCACTATCCCTAGAAATCCTGGCGCCTTGGAGATAGCTTCTCAGGCCCCTGAAGATCACACTCTAAGGCTAGAGGCACCTAACTTCCTTGTACCTTCTCCTCCGGAGCCCTTAGCGCCCTCACTACATTTACCTCCACATGTTGTACTCTCGCCTGAGTTCCCTATTGTGCCTAAGTAGGCATCTTTGACTGACATAGTACGATGCTAGAGATTGTAAATGGTTGGATCCTCCACCAACGAGGTCAGCAGCGCAAGACTAGTACTAATCAGCCCCCATGGCACTCCTTTCAAGTACACTATCTCCCTCCATTTTGCGGTATCAAACAACCAAGCTAAATATGACACCTTCATATTAGCTTTGAAGCTTGCAATAGAGATGGAAGCCCTCTGCTTGAAAGCTTACAATGATTCACAACTAATAGTCAATTAGATAAAGGGAGATTTTCAAGCGAAAGAGAAAAAGATGCAAGAATACCTATCAGTGATCCAAGCTTTATTGAAAAATTTTAACCACTTCCAGATCTACCACGTGCCCAGAGAGAAGAATGCCATGGTATTTGCCCTTACCAAGTTCGCATCTGTAAACATAATCATGGGCCTAGCACTGACAGGCCACTAGTTTGAACTAAGCAAGATCAAAGTAGAGGAGGACGATGTTAATAGTGTATCCTCTGAAGCCAATTGGATGACCCATATCAGAGCCTACCTAAAGGAAGGCACTTTCCTAGAGAATCCAGTGGAAGCCAAAAATTTGAGAATTAGAGCATATAGGTATGTCATCCTACATGACACTCTCTATAAGAAAATTTAGTCACTACCACTCCTCTGCTACCTCGCCCCTAAGGAAGTTGACTATGCCATGAGAGAAATCCATGAGAAGATATGTGGAAATCACTCCGGAGGGCAGGCACTAGCTCACAAGGTAGTAAGGTAAGACTATTATTAGCCTAGCATTGTCAGAGACACCCACGAGTTTGTGAGAAAATGTGACAAATGCTAGCGCTTTGTGACAATGCCTAGACAACCACTAGAAGAACTCACCAACATCCTAAGCTCGTGGCCCTTCTCCATGTGGGGGATCGACATCCTAGGTCCTCTACCCATGAGTCAGGGCTAGTGTAAGTTTGTGGTGGTAGCCATTGACTACTTCACTAAATGGGCAGAAGCTGAGACCTTAGCCAGAATAACAGACCAAAATGTGAAAAAGACTTCATCTGGAGGAACATAGTCTGTCGTTCCAGAGTACCTTATCCGTTGTGAGTGATAATGACACACAGTTTGATAACAAACTCCTTAACAACTTCTGCGCCAACCTATAAATTAAGTAACCCCACTCCAACCCAGCCTATCCATTGGTGAACAGATAGGCAGAGGTCACCATCAAAGCGATTCTCTACAACCTGAAGACCAAATTGAAAAATGTCAAGGGGAGATGAGTGGACAAGCTCCCAGGTGTACTATGGGCTTACCAGACAACTCCAAGAAGGCCTACGAGGGAGACCCTTTTTTCTATAGTTTATAGAACAAAGGCGGTCATACCAGTTGAGATTGGGGTACACTCCCTTAAGGTCCAACACCATGACCCTGCCACCAACGAAGAAGGCCTCTGTATCAACCTTGATTTAGTAAAGGAGGAGAGGGAGATGGATATGCTTAGGAATGCAAAGTAAAAGCGTCGTATAACCAAGTACTACAACTCGAGGGTGAAGCCTCACTCCTTCTTGCTTGGGGACTTAGTCCTCAAAAATGTCATCCTATCTACCAAGGACTCTCGGGAAAGGAAGCTAGCTCCTAACTGGGAAGGACCCTACATGGTCGCAGAATTTGTAAGACTAAGCACCTACAGAATCCAGAACTCTGAGGAGAAAACACTGGCCCATCCATGGAACGCAGAGCACCTGAAGAGATATTACCAATAGCTAGGGGCAAGTCAATGGGTTCACAAGTTAGTAGCCATCATTTAAACTATCTCTTGTGGTTTTAGTTAATTTTTGTTGTTATCTACTTCAAATTATGAAATAAAATTTTGCAAGATTTTTTCTTTTTCAAAAATTGTATCTTATTCCATAGAAGTTCGTAAACCACTTACAAAAGTAAAACATGACCTAGCAACAAAATCAAAAAGATAAAAGTGTTACACTCCAGAAATCACTCATTTCTCCCTAATCCACTCCCTCTCCTCCTCATTATCAATCCCTGGTGCCTCATAAGGGACAAAGCCAGAAAAGTCAAAGGCAAGAAATATTGCTGAGACCTTCCCCTTAAGTTCCTCATAACAGTCGATAAAGGTGTCTACTACAACCCTTTCAACAACCTCCTTCCTCTTTTGCATCTCAATGGAGTAAGCATCTGTCATGGTGGCTCTCTCAAGAGCTACTCGAAGGTCAGTCTCTGGCACAACAGCTTTCTCTCAAGCTATTCATAGCTTGGCCTCTGCCCCGGTGGCCCTCTTGAGGGAGGCTCATAGCTCTACCTCTGCTCTCAAGTAGGCAGCCTCTAGTTGGGCAGCTCTCTTGTAGGACTCCAGAAGCTCGATCCCAAGGGGTGCAACTCTTTCGTAGACTAGCCTCAACTGCTCCTCGACAGTCTCTTGTGCCTGCCTCTCCAGTCTCAACTACTCCTCGGCAACCCCTCATGACTACCTCTCTTCTTGAAGATCTTTGAATGTCTCTTCAAGCTTCATCGTCCCTGAAAAAAGGCAAGGAATAACGGTAACCACCTATAAGCATGCAAAAAACAAGACATAAGGAAGAAGAAATAGTACAAAATCAAAGATGAATAAAAGGTATACCATAGCAAAGCCCTCCATAACAGTGTAAATGATGCCTTTTGGACATTGAACGCCCATCTCTTGGATCTCTGCAGCGGTCACAAACCCCCAAAGTCATTATTTGGCCAGATTTCATTTCTTGCAATATAGATACCGAACCACTACTAGAAGTAGGGGCAGCTAAGTGGAGCTCCAATCCTCATAGGAGATAGCACTGGAGCCTCAATCCCTATAGCTGTATTGGTTCCAGCTCTGGATTGCGATGGCATAGTCGGGGAAAGAGTAGGGGCATCACTGGGTCTCGCCTCCAGGGAACTAACCTAGCCAACAGGCCTCGATTGAGAAGTGCTGGGGGCATTAGACTTCGCCCTCTCATAGGAAGAAGGAGAAGACGCCACCCTAGAAGCATAAAGAGCCTCCATCATCGCTTTATCAATAGTGAAACCTATTGAATTAGTGTGAGACAAATAGCCTACAAAGTCATAGCCATCAAAAGTCATTTGGAAAAGTCAAATACCTTTCCTCTTCTGCCTGGGGGAGGCTTTAGGACAACCTAACACAAACATGATGGACGAGAACTCGTTGAAGGGATGATCCCGCATGACTTGGAGCCTACTATCCTACTCTGGAGATAATATGGGGGAAGTTGTAAAGAAACCAAACACGCAGTAAGTACAGGGACATGTCGATTAGACGTAAAAGCAAAGGTGAAATTCTTACCTAGCTTGTTCCTCGTAATAGTGTCTCACCTTGAAGGCACTAGGTCATGGTCTCTCTCGGTGGCCCACTCACCTCCAACAAAGAAGAACCTAGATTTCTAGCTGTGACAATTTGACAACAGTCCAGAGATAAGCTTGTCCGATCTAGAGGCAAACCGGTACCACCCTTGATAAGGTGTGGAGTTATCCAAAAGTACATATGAAGTCAAAAACTCCTCGAAAGGGGGACGAACATCAGCTCCATGGACCAATTGCCATAATGAAAAGAAGTCCAGAATCACCTTGCAACCATTGGGAGTTAACTCCCTAGAGCCAGCAATAGGTGTCCCAGAATCGGACAAATGGGCCTGGGGTATGGGAAACCTCAACCCTGCCTCCAGGACATCATTGTAAATGATGATCTCTCCTAAGGAATCATGACACGCTGGCTCGTCCCCCTCGGCCCGACAACATATAATAGCAGGAGGAATACAGTACGAACATACAATGCAAGCAAGGTCATCATTGCAGTTAATTGAACTAAAAATATAAGATACCTTCGACCTGTCGCCTTCAGCAGTTCCATGGTGTGAAGTCTGTGTAATATATGTCGTGCTGCCCTTACAAGTTTGGGTACCTGACAATGCAAAATCCAATAAAAAGTAAAGGGCGCCCAGACTAACAGAAAGTCATGAACAAGGTTAAGAAACTCAGTCAAAAGGCAATACCTTGTTTCCTTACATAGATTGGTCTATCAGCTCCAGTACCAGCCACTCCATTGGACGCCGCTCTAGCATCTACGTCTAGTCTTCTTGGTCACTTTCCCTTTGGCGTTGCCCCTTGCCTATGTTGCCTTGGTGTCGTCCACAGCGTGGGTTATCCTTGCTTCAACATCCTTATTGGTGTCACCCACAGTGATCGGCGTCGCAGCGTCACATCTCACCTAGAAGTTGCCTTCAACATCCTCGTTGGCGTCGCCCACTATAACTAGCATTGTCGCCCCACACCTGCCAAGGGCATCGCTTAGGTCTTTTATAATGTCTCCTCCAAACGAGCTTGGATTAACACCCAAGACCTTAATTCCACTAGCGGCGTCGCCAAGGTTAACCGCTAAGGCGTCACCCAACCCATGAAAGGCATTGCCACCTGTATCCCTGGCGCCATCGCCAATGAAACTAGTGCCTCTAGCCATTTCTACTTCATTTCCCGTTCCATGGATGTCACCCATATGGCATTGCCAATAATGCCATAGTCGCCCCTCTCTTCGCCTCTCACGATGTCGCCAGCGTAATAGGTGCCTCCTTGTTTACCTCTTATGGCGTTGCCTGCTCCATGGGCGACACCATCACTACCCCTGTTGGCATGGCCTGCATCGGCTCTTGTGGCATCGCCCCTTTACCTCCAATTTGCCCAAGCTTGGGGAGTCCTATGGCACCAACCACCTTTGGTTTTGAGGTCACCTTCCACATCGTCTTCCCTGACCTTTCTCTCATAATGAATTATGGAATAGGTAGGTAAAGGTTTTCTAAGCCCTAGTTACGAGGGGGAGATTTCAAATAAAATGGGGAAGATTTTTTAAATTATAAAGATTTGTGCCCTAAAAAAGGAGATTCAAGTTCAGCAGAGGCCCACCACAGAGGAGGATGACCAGTGCAATGGGGTGCCCAACCATAGAGTTACTGGAAGCTTTGTGATTAAGGGAATGAAGAAACCTCCATGTAGAACAAAGAATCTTTTGTCTGTTTAGATGCAAGGGCTCACTCATGCCCTCAACCCTTTCGTCACCACTGGGGCTTGGGGTATGGGGGGCAAACAATGAGCCTAAATTTAATTGGGTCAGACCCGATTAATGAAATAAGCTCAAATCAACTATAATGTAGGTCATGCCCAACTCATGGATCCGGCCCAATCCAAAATTCAAGGGATCCACTAATATTAGCGTATATGGGGAATAATTACCGGGAGAGCCACTCTCCAAGGTCAACACTATCTTGAATTGTATCTATCCTAATTGTAGTTATTCTCTCCGAAGGATTGACCACCTATCACACCACGACACCACTTCAACCAAGGCTTTATGCCTATAAATGATAAGTCTTCTCCATGAGAGGAGCATCTCTCTGCACACCTTTTTCACAAACCATCTCTTTCATAGCTATCCAACCTCTCCTAAAGCTTACTTTTGCTCTCTCTTTCACACCTTACTTTGTTAATAAAAGATTTCGGCCACTAATATTAGCGCATATGAAGAATAATTACCAGGAGAGCCACTCTCCTAGGTTAATACTATCTTGAATTGTACCTATTCTAATTGTAGTTATCCTCTCCGAAGGATTAGCCACTTATCACACCATGACACTGCTTCAATCAAGGCTCTATGTCTATAAATTATAAGTCTTCTCCATTAGAGGAACATCTCTCTATACACTTTTTACATATCTATCTCTTTCATAGCTAACCAACCTCTCCTAAAGCTTACCTTTGCTCCTTCTTTCACACCTTACTTTGTTAATAAAAGATTTCGACTACTGTTGTCACCTTCGAAGTGGAGTAGATTATCCTGACCAAACCACTATATATTTGTGTGTTGCTTGTGTTTACCTAGTATTTGCCTTCTGCTATTAATTGCTTCATTAATTACTCAATATTATACACTCAACTGTTGATTATGCATAAGTTTATTTTGTACATCATCAATTATAAACAAATTTGAAATTTGTATCGCAGTTTACAAAGCCTGTATAATTTAATGGTACAATATTAAAAAAAAAAAAAGAATTTTGGTACTGTAGTTTTCTTCGAAAATGAAATACCAAGACCCATAACAATGCCGTCGGCTGACACGCGTTGACCCAAGGACAGGTAGCGCGTGGTCTCTTTTACCCCGTGAAACAAGAAACTATGTTTGCCACAGACACAGCTTGGAGACTGGACAAGGACAAAATATCCTCTTTTTATAAGAGGCATAGTCTTTTGGGACAAAAACTTATGCACAAAAACTAGAATCCGAATCTCAGCAAGTAGCTATCTTTTAACAACCCTCGTCTATTTCACATTTCTGTAAGTTCCTTCATATCTATTTCATCTTGTTTGATCTCTGAATTATAACACTATTGCATCTTCTGGATAGTGGGTACAGTGGTTTTTGAGTCAGAAATTTGTATAGACTTTGAAATAAAATCCATTACCCCTGATTTCTGAACTTGGTTTTTTTGCGGGTCTTCTGTTTTTGACGTTGAAAATATGAAATGAATAAGTTTCATGTTTCTGAGGTATAGTCATCTGGGGTTTTGCAGTTCTATCTTGCTTTTTGAATTTTGTCGGTTGCCTAAAAGTTGTGACTTCTAGACTCTCGAAGTTTGTGCTTTAAAGGTTATTAAAGAGGAGATGAAAAGCAGTGGGTGTATTTATGTAGAATTAAATTTGTTGGCTTTTAATGCAAATGAATGAGTTAGGACGTTTAAGATGGGGTTTTGGGTCTCTGATGTGTATTGTGATTTTTCAGAATCATCGGTTATGATATGAGAGAGTAATCCGGAGAAGGTTTCGGTGCTAGATTTTAGTTTATGATTGGGGAATACTTATGTGCATTAAGGCAATGAAAGGGTGAATTTGGGGAAGTGTTAGAACTTGAATAGGTTCCTTGGTTTTGATTTGTAGTTGAATTTGATTCTACGTCTTGGTGTTTCTGAAGTATACCCTTTTGAGATATAGCATCTAAAGAAAATTACATATTGGAACAAGGATTCCTCCTTTTTTTTTGGTTCTTGATATGCAAAGAGTACGAGTTTCATCACACCAAGCCCCGGTGCACAAGTTGGGAGATTCCCAAATGACATTATCCCCAAAATTTAAGTTAGCTGCAATCCAATCCTCGCTTCTAGATGCTTCAATAGAATTGGAATTGTCTGTCAGGGGAGAGCCTCTAATCCCTGGTCTTCCTGATGATATCGCTTTCAACTGTCTCCTCCGGCTTCCTGTTGAGAGCCATGGAGCTTGCAGGGCTGTCTGCAAACGTTGGTGTTCCTTGCTTGGAAGCAAGGAGCGATTCTTCACGCGGAGAAGGGAGTTTGGTTTTAATGACCCTTATTTGTTTGTCTTTGCTTTTCATAAATGTACTGGAAAAATTCAGTGGAAGGTACTTGACCTCATTCACTTTTCTTGGCACTCTATTCCAGCGATGCCTTGCAAGGACAAGGTTTGCCCTCACGGATTTAGGTGTGTTTCCATTCCCCATGAAGGTGTTCTCTTTGTTTGTGGTGGTGTGATCTCTGATGTGGATTGCCCTTTGAACTTGGTATTGAAATATGAAGTGCAGAAGAATCGTTGGTCTGTGATGAAAAAGATGATGACTGCACGTTCGTTTTTTGCAAGTGGGGTGATTGATGGGATGATTTATGTGGCTGGAGGAAACAGCACAGATCATTTTGAGTTGAATTCGGCTGAAGTCCTTGATCCTGATCACGGGTTTTGGCGACCCATTGCAAGCATGAGAACAAATATGGCCTCATATGATGCAGCAGTTCTTGATGGCAAGCTTCTTGTAACAGAGGGCTGGTTTTGGCCCTTTTATGTTGTTCCCCGGGGCCAGATTTATGACCCGACAACTGATAACTGGGAGGGTATGGCTACTGGACTGAGAGAAGGTTGGACTGGTTCTAGTGTTGTGGTTTATGGGCACTTGTTTGTGGTTTCAGAGCATGAAAGGACAAAACTTAAAGTTTATGACTCGGACACTGATTCTTGGGAAGCTGTCTTAGGACCTCCTTTACCAGAGCAGATATGCAAGCCTTTCTCTGTAAATTGCTATGATTGCAGGATCTATGTTGTGGGTCGTAATCTTCATGTTGCTGTAGGCCACATCTTGAGGCTGCGTACAGAAAACACGTCTGAGAAAAAGTGTAGCTTTTCTGTTGAGTGGCAAGTGGTGGACGCACCGGAAATCTTCTCTGACTTGACTCCATCAAGCGCACAGGTTCTGTTTGCTTAATTCTTCAGTTTCCTTTGATATAACTTTTGCCTGTTGTTGCAGCTTAAATTGTAATTAAAAGAGAGTGTTAAATCTGTAGAGTGATGCTACAAGTATGAAAAGGCTCTTAAAGTAGTTCTATCAGATGTAATAATTTTGAGGTATATGTACATTAATATGCTGTCTTTATTTTTCACTTTTTTTGTCTAGTGCAACTTGTGTTTGGGAATAACAGATTTATGAGACACCGTTTGAAGACAGATATTTTTTGGGTGAAACATTGTTTGTAATGCATTATAATAGTATGATTTGCATGATCCGTTTAGAAGTGATCCACATGTTACTCACTTAACCAATATCCCCAAAAGTTTACATTGTGTGTGCATTTATAGATGGCATAAGCGTTAAAGTAATTTATTATGATCTACTGGAAGTCTGGAACTGATACTTCATGAGATTGAGTGACATGAACCTTTTGACAAAAGATCAAAACATATCTACATTATCCTGTTAACACAAATTATGTACAACCATTTGAGTAGAACAACTGAGGAAGTGTCCAGGATGAGGAAAGTTAGCATTATTCAATACAGAGGACAGTCGGTCCTCATGGACAAGTTCATTCTGTGCTCTCTTGTATGACCACCAAAGGACTTCTCTACTGATTCCTTCCAAGACTCTAATTGGTCACGTCCTTCCTTTTATTACTATAAGAATCACTGAATCAGTAAGATCTTGTCTATGAGGTTTATCTAGTAAAATACTACTGGCCTGCAATTCTAAATTTATGGTTTCACACTTCATATTAAAATTTTTTGAGCTGCACCCTTTTTGATTGTGAGGTGAGATTATATAGTCTCTTGCCCGTATAACGAATGCTAAGTTTTATGGTTTACCTGATTTCTGCCACGGAGATATTGGTGGACAGAGTTGATCCTGGAAGAAGAAGAGGGCTGTTAGGTTGATCTCCACAGCAAATTGACTCATTACTGTGATTTATTCTATCACTTACCAGGGAAGTTGTTTGACAAAGCATTGAGATAATAAAATATAAAGAAAATTCAAAAACTGGAAGATTTTTGGATGCATTGATTGACAACTTAATCTACATGTATATATCTACAATCGTTCTTCAATGGTCGGAGCAACATTTTTCTTAATCGGAGAGTGGTATGAAATGTAAGAACTTCTATACATTAGATGGATTTGGAACATTTGTCGGACTGCCTTGTTCTTCTCCTTTTGGAGGTAATTTTCATTTGATTTCCTCATTGTCTTTCTTTATATTTGGAAGTCCCCTTCTGGTACTCATTGCTCTGTGTTGTCACTGAAATTAGGGAAGAATCTTATTTTTTTTAATAGCGATATACTTCTGGAGCACCTCTAGAAAGAAGAATAGTCTTCTTTGTGATTGTTGTGTGCAGATTAACCCTGCTCATTAAGCAGTGACCAAATTTGAGTTAGCAGAGCCGGACGTTCCGTTTTGCATTTTTCCAAGTTGCTAACTAACCAAATTTTAATAGGAGGCTGATGTTTGATTGGTTGGTTGATTGATATCAGTATATATCGGTTATTTCCCAAGATTGCCTTCACTGATTGAACAAGACGCTTTTATTTGCAGTCTACAAGTTGCTAACTAACCAAATTCTAATGGGAGGCTGATGTGTTGATTGGTTGGTTGATTGATTTGTGGCTATCTTTCTTTCAACATGGTTGTTTTGGTGAGAGTATAAAGCTTTACACATACTATCATGTTGTATGATTAATATCAATCTTATTCGCTTATGTGCCCAGAAACATCCATTCTTTCTAGGTGTTGTCTAGATTTTGGAGAAGAAACATTTGAATTGGTATTTCATTCGTTAGTTCTATATCATCACCTATATTGTTTTTATGTTTTGTGTTGTGGGGTTACGGGGAAATTGAAGGAAAAGAAAAGAAATCAAAATTTTTGGGTGATAAAATTTTCCTTTTTAGCCGTTGTGTTGGATCAATGTAGGTATTGAATAATATTTGGAAAAAAACAATACATTCCTAACACCATAAGTACCTAAACCGTGTATGATCACTTGGTGGATAACTAAAATGCTGGCATGGTGGATAGCCTAACATTGAGAAAACTATATAGCATGTAGGTAGAAGCCAATGCCAGCAAGTAGCATCTAATATAGGTTGTGGTATTGAGTTAGCATATGAGATGCTTTCCCCCCTCCTTCTCTTCCTACCCCCAGGGGGGGCAGATCTCTCTCTCTCTCTCTCTCTCTCTCTCTCTCTCTCTCTATTTACACAAGTTAAAATGGAGAGTTCGAACTTAGCTCTTCGCATTTTGAAGAGTGAAATTCACTCTCTACTATCGTGAATCAATGAAAAAAATGACATATGCACCGCTGTCAATAAACACAATGTTCCAATAAAAATCATATTATCTACAAAATAGAGACTTCTATTGAAATTATCTACAAAATCTCATTCTCAATTTGACAATCTTAACTAAAGATGCTTTATTTTGTTTAAAAAAATATACGTTGAAATAGAACATTATTGAAGATGCAGTTGACGAGAAAGATTTCTATATTTAGTCTTGGTAAACATACAAAGAAAAACAAAGCATGTGGTTTTAATTGAGGGCATCCTTTATTAGACATGGTGGACTCCACTTCTCCTTCAACTTGCATCATGGTGTCTTTAACAAGATGGATAAGGATATGGTACCAAAAAAATTAATGGAATCTTTTCGTACTATACCCAAAATGTTTTATTATCATATCATAGATTTATTGATTTATTTACAACAATTGATAATGAACATAATAACATAAAGTAAACTAATATAGAGCTTGACATGAGTCAATGACTATACAAGAGGGGCACTATAGTTAAGTGCTTGGCTGCTAAGCAACCAGAATTCTTACTTGGAGCAAACGTAGGCTAGCATTTTTAGTTAAGATTACAGGAAAAAGAGGGGGTCATAGTGTAATTTAGCTTATGGATAACTTACGGAAACGTTAGAGTTTAGTTTTGTGGGTCCCAAAATTATTGAATCCATTTTCTCCATCCATGTTTGTGCGGAACCACCCACCTCAGCCCGACCTAGACCGGCCTAGTGGCAGCTGGGACCGCCCTAACATAATGAATTTGAATTCGAATAACGATTTAATCCTCTCCAAATTTGGTAATGACATAAGTCTATCCTTTTAACTATAGCTAAAACTTCGCATTTAGAAAAAATTCATCCAAAATTCGTCCCCCTTTTTATTATTTAAAACTTCAATGCACCTTTATTATCTAATAAAAAGAGAATGACATTGATGCAAATCAGATTACAACATAATACTTGGATCATTGAGATTGATATCGAGGCCGATTGGGGCAGTCAAACAATTGGCTTTTTCAAAACTATTTCCACATACATGGGTTTATAAACACTTATGTCTAGTCAGGAACAACGAGACAAAATGAACTCATTGATGCAATGACCCAGGGCGGATTTTCGGGCAATTCCTTCATTTAGGGTCTTAAAAATGCATTTTTTTCTTTTTTTGGTAATTTTTCGTAGTTGAATTTTTAGTAATATGCTCTAAGAACAATCATGTAAATAATGTTTTGGGGTTGTACTTGCAACATTCATTACTTAATTAAATAAAATGATAAGTTTATTTATCATACTTCTACTTTATTTCATTTTAATATACACGATAGAGTCCATAGAGTATAAATTAAGAAAATGGTTTCTCAAGGAGTTGAAAATAGGAGATCTATACTTCTTAATACTTAACTATTAAATGTTCCTAGTCATAGGATTATTATGTAGGCACTATATAATTTGGATAGACTAGCATACACTATGTTTACTCATATTTGATATTAGGTGACTTGTCTAAGTCACTACTATAAGGACACTGAAGTAGCTGTGTGAGTGCTTGTTAGTTAGAGAATAAGTACATTGAACGTGACCATTGACAAACGTAAGATTTTTTATTTGTAGTTTTACATACTTCTCAATATTAAATTATAAAGTTATAATTAATTGAAACATCATAGTTGTCTTGTGCATGAACTTCTATACTTTAAGTATACAACATATTCATTTACTAACCATTTAACTTGGATATGTATTATTAGGTATAATTAGACATTCATGGAGATTTATGAGTGTACAACTTGGAATCTATCACCCTTAGTAAATAAAAGGAGAATGTCTCATGTGATCTTCTAGGATATGACTCAAGGAGTCATTGGTCAAGGTAGAATGACAATTAGAAAAGAGTTTTTAATTGATCATTAAGAGTCATAGTCTTAAGATCGAACATATAGAATTGAATTAGCGGTTTGACAGAAATTTCATACCCTAATAATTCAATTGGGGCATTTGTGTAATAGAAGGATTGAATTGCATGACAATTGTAGACTTAATGTGTTTTTTACCTACTTTGTACTATTCAGAAGTTAATCATGATATACTTCTAGGTGTCACTCATGATTAGTAGAAGTCGAAAGAACAAAATAAATAAAAATATATTAATTGTTCTTCATACATGCAGAATTAGAAGAATTCTAATTCAATCTAAATTATAAAGAGTTCTAATTTGAGATGCTTCTTTTAGTTAGTATCGAATGACTACAACCGAGTATGCTTGAATTTATAGGATCATACATAATAGAATTGATTGAAACTAAAGGATAAAAAAGAGAAAACTAATTAACAATTAATTGTGGGTGAAAACCTAATTAAGAGTTAATTAGAGACTTTATTATAATTAATGGTTAATAAAGGGATTATATGTAATTATGAGATAATTTCAACTAGACCCAAACTAGGATTAGAGTTTTCTAAGACTTTATTAATACCTTTATATAGAAGGTGGATATATGAGATAACAACTCTCTTGCTAGCACAAGAAAAATCCATCACCATTCTCTTTCCTTACTAGTTTATCAAAGGTTGAGGTAAATTCTTCAAGTTTATCAATTTGTGTGAATACCAATAGAGGCCAAACAATTGTGAGGCTTGGGATAAAGATCAAATTTAAATTTGAAGATTCAAAATTTTTGAGAAAGCTTGAAGATTGTTAAAAACATGCTTCAAGAGGTAACCCTTAGTCTTCTCTATAGATTTAAGGTTTCTCGATTTGTATTAAGTATGAATAGATCTTGGAATGAGGAATCAATATTTATTTTTAAATTCTGGTACATTTATTATATGATTCATTTCATGAATAATTACACCATCTTAAGTCAAAATTGATCAGTGTTATCAGAATCAAACCAGATCGGCCGGTCGGACTAGTTGAACCGTGAACCGAGATCTAAAACAGTCTGGTTCTTTAGTTAGACTGCCTAAGGAACCGAACTATTGGAGAGTCAAAAAACCAGACGGTTTTAGCCAAAATTGTTAAACCAAAATTTTCTTTAATCGGCCGGTTCAAAGCTTAAAATCAGCGGGCAGACTTCATCTTCTCCGTTTCCGTCCAGATGAACAACGGCGAACACTATACTTTGTCATCTTCGTCTCAAACAATGGCGAACATCATAGATCTAGATCTCGAACACCATAGATCTATATCTCCTAAGTTGTGCAAGCCTTCTTCTTCTTCTCCTCCTCATCCTCCTCGCTCTCTCTCCCCCCACGCAGACACAACCCGCAAAGAATGAAGGAAAAAATGTTGG